CATTAAGCATGCATTTTTTGAACTCAATGCGAAAGCAAGGTTTTATTGACAAAAAATTAACAAAAACTCCATAAATAGTTGTAATATTAGTCAATACAATGAATGACAGATTCAGACTACTTTTTTTTTTTTTGCCAAGATTGTTCAGCCTATGTTTCTAGTGTATATTTCATATATTCCTGACCCATAATTTTCCATGCTTTCCATTGACCCTGGTGATGGAATCCTAAAGACTGCAATTTATAGGCCATTGCCATCTTGGCTGGTACATCACATGGTTGGCAGGCACGCAGCTGAGACTGGAAGGAAGTAGCTGTTTCTATGGATACCTCTCAGTGTGCGCTTTGTGTTTTAAGACTGTCAATGCATGTGCTCAGTATCCTGCCTCTGGGAAGAGTCAGGAAAAGGGTATTGCTAGTCATCATTGGGATTTAACTATGTGCCAAGGAGGAAACTCTGTTTATTGTACATATATTATCTCACATTCTACTAGATGAGACCATGCAGATGCTGGAAGTACAAAGTGGAGGTTTACCGAAATTCATCTTATCTGAGGGTAACTACTGCTTGTAATACTATATTAAAAATGAAAATAAGAAATAGCTCATGGGATGTAGTATATCAGAATAGAAGAGTTAAATGGAGACTCTTCTGGTCAATTTGGGACTCCACATATATTTGATGGTTACATTTTTCTCTCCATTAACTTCACAAATAAATATACTTAGGATTTTGTAACCTCCTGTATGATAAAACAGCATTGGCATATGATGCTAAATGTCGTAATCATATTTGTTGCCTTCTAGCATTCTTTCTTACATGGATATGCTGTTTCTAAAATATGAATCTACTAGATGTTTGAAATCTTTATATCTTTGAATGGCATTTTTGCCTTAAGGATATACCTCTCCTCCAATTTTATTCAGTCTGTATGTATTTTTTAAAAAGATTTTTATTAAAGTCAAGCTATCAGATAATATTATATCAGTTTTAGGTGCACACCATAGTTATTCAGCATTTATACACCCAGAGAAGTGATCACCATGGTAAGTCCAGCAACCATTGACACCATACAATGTTATCACAATATTATTAATTATATTCCCTATGCTGTACATTACATCCCCATGACTTTTTTGTTTTATACTTGGAAATTTGCACCTCTTATTCTCCTTCACCTCCCCCCATTTAAAAATATTTTCAATTACAGTTGATATTCAGTATTATTTCATATTAGTTTCAGGTATGCAGCATAGTGGTTAGACATTTATATAATTTATGAAGTGATCCTCTGACTAGTCTAGTACCCCCCGGCACTGTGCGTAGTTATTACCACATTACTGACAGTATTCTCTATGCTTTACGTTATATCCCCAGGACTATTTTGTAACTGTCAATTTGTATCTCTTAATCTTTTCACGGTTTTCACCCTGCTGCACCCAACCCTCTCCCATCTGGCAACCATCAGCTTGTTTTCTGCATCTAGGAGTCTGGTTCTGCTTTGTTTATTTATTTTATCCTATAGATTCCACATATAAGTGAGATTATATGGTATTTGTCTTGCTCTGTCTGACTTAGTTCACTTATTACCTTCCATTTTCATCCATGTTGCAAATGCTAAGATTTCATTCTTTTTTATGGCTGAGTAATATTTCATTATATATATGTACCACTTCTTTATTTGTCTGTTGATGGAAACCTAGATTGCTTCCATATCTTGGCTATTGTAAATAGCACTGCAGTGAACATAGGGGTGCATATGTCTTTTAAAATTGGTGTTTTGGATTTCTTCAGTTCTATTTTTAATTTTTTGAGGAACCTCCATACTTTTTTCCACATTGGCTGCAGCAGTTTCCAATCCCACTAGTGTATGAGGGTTCCCTTTTCTCCATGTTGTTGATAACACTTTTGTTGATTTATTGATGATGCCCTTTTTGACAGATGTGAGATGATATTTTATTGTGGTTTTAATTTGCATTTCTCTAATGATTAGTGACATTGAGCACTATTTCATATGTATATTTGCTATCTGTATGTCCTCTTTGGAGAAAGTCTGTTTAGGTCCTCTGCCCACTTTTAATTTGTATTGTTAGGTTTTGTGTGTGTGTTAAGTTGTGTGAGTTTTTTCATATATTTTTGGATATTAACCCTGTATCGGTTGTATCATTGATGAGTGCCTTCTCCTACTCAGTAGGCTATCTTTCTGTTTTGTTTATTGTTTCCTTTGCTATGTAAAACCTAGCTATCTCAGTAGGCTATCTTTCTGTTTTGTTTATTGTTTCCTTTGCTATGTAAAACCTAGCTATCTCAGTAGGCTATCTTTCTGTTTTGTTTATTGTTTCCTTTGCTATGTAAAATCCTTTCCTTTGTAAAACTTTTTTAGTTTGATGTAGTCCTTTTTATTTATTTTTTCTTTTATTTCCCTCGCCCAAGGCAACATATTAGAAAAAATATTACTAAGAGTAATGTCAGAGTTTACTGCCTACGTATTCCTCTAGTAGTTTTATGATTTCTGGTCTTACTTTTAAGTTTTTAATCCATTTTGAGTTTATTCTTATATATGGTGTAAGAAGGTGGTCTAGTTTATTTATTTATTTATTTTTGCATGTATTTTTTAGTTTCCCTAAAACCATTTATCTATTGAATAGGTTTTCTTTATCTCATTGTATATTCTTGCTTCCTTTGCCATAGATTAATTGACCACATAAGTGTAGATTTATTTCTGGGCTCTCTATTCTGTTCCATTGATCTTTATGTGTTTTTATGCTGGTACCATGCTGTTTTGATTAATAGACTTCTAGTATAGTTTGATATCAGGTATTGTGATACCTCCAACTTTGTTCTTTTTTTCTCAAGATTGCTGTGGCTATTTGGAGTCTTTTATGGTTCCGTATAAGTTTTGGGATTATTTGTTTGAATTCGGTGAAAAATGCCGTTAATATTCAGAGATTGTATTGATTTTATAGATTTCTTTGGGTAGTTTGAGCATTTTAACAATGTTAATTCTTTTTGTCCATGAGCAAGGTATATACGCTTCCATATATTCATATCTTCCTCAATTTCTTTTTTCAACATCATATAATTTCCTGAGTACAGGCCATTTATCTCTTTGGTTAAATTTACTCCTAGGTATATTATTTTTTATTTTGATGCAATCGTAAATGGAATTGTTTTTTCTTAATTTCTCTTTCTGATAATTCGTTGCTGGTGTATAGAAATGCAACTGATTTCTGAATATTAATTTTGTATCCTGCTCCTTTACCTAATTCATTTATCAATTTTAATATTTTTCTGTTGGAATCTTTAGGGTTCTCCATACATAGTATCATGTCATCTGCAAAGAATAACAGTTTTACTTCTTTTTTTCCAAGTTGGACACTTTATTTCTTTTCCTTTCTGATTGCTGTGACTAGGACTTCCAGTACTATGTTGCATAAAAGTGGTGAAAGTGGACTTCCTCGTTTTGTTTCTGATCTTAAGGAAAATGCTTTTAACTTTTCTCTGTTGAGTATGATGTTAGCTGTGAGTTTATCATGTATGGCCTTTATTATGTTGAGGTATGTTCCCTTTTTACCCACGTTGCTGAGAGTTTTTATCATAAATGAATGCTGGATTTTGTCCAATGCATTTTCTGCATCTATTGATATAATCATATGATATTTATCCTTCATTTTTGTTAATGTGGAATATTGCATTAACTGATTTGCAGATAGTGAACCAACCTTGCATCTCATGAATGAATCCCACTTGATTATGGTGTATGATCTTCTTAATGTACTGCTGAATTTGGTTTACTAATATTTTGTTGAGGATTTTTACATCTGTGTTCATCAGGGATATCAGCCTATAATTTTATTTCTTTTCCTTCCTTCCTTCCTTCCTTCCTTCCTTCCTTCCTTCCTTCCTTCCTTCCTTCCTTCCTTCCTTCCTTCCTTTCCTTCCTTTCCTTCCTTTCCTTCCTTTCCTTCCTTTCCTTCCTTTCCATGGTGGCCTCTTAAAATAAAGTTGTGAGCCTTTCATCCTCTTGAATTTTTTGGAATAGTTTGAGGATAGATGTTAACTCTTTAAATGTTTGGTAAAATTCACCCATGAAGCCATCAGTCCAGGATGTTTGTTTGTTGGGAGTTTTTATTCAGTCTTTAAAATGACATCAGAGACCATTTTCTCTGCTAGGGCTTCCCTGATGCCCTTACATAGAATTAAGTAGTTTACCTCCTGTTCTACTTCTTGATACTCTTCTAGTCCTGCATCTGTCACATTCTGTCATAAAATATTTGTTATAGATCAGACTCCCCTTTTAGACTTGAATTCCTTGAAGACACAGTACATGTCTCTTTTATGCTGATACTTAATACAAAGCTTGGACATGATTTAGGTACTTACTATTATTCAGCTGAATTATATATGTTGGTCATTTTAATGGTTCTGCTTAAAATGTTTAAAATTGTTATTTATATTTTACTAAATGAATGATAGGCCTTTATATTTCTCGTCATACTTAAAGACTGAACTATTTCCATATTCAGAATAAAAACATAAATCTTTTAAAAAGGATTTATTGATATTTAAAATATTAAGGTGAGTAAAAGAGCTGTGACCTGCAAATATACATTGATATAAATATAAGATGGGATTGTAGTTTTATGAATACATATATTTGTTAAATCAATTTCTGATTTGGTAATCCCCAGCCATACCTTCAAATATTTTAGAAACAAGTTTGAAAAGGTAGCTTATGAATAAAGCAAATAAAATATTATCTTTATCTGACTCCTGAAACTATTGAGGAAGTTTGAAACTGTTACAATTGCAACATTCTTATTTTACACTAGTTTTAAGGGCATGGGGAAATTATTTTGTTACTTGATTAATCAGTAGCTAACTAAAGAGCCTGCACATTCTATAGGCCCTTACTTTTCTTTATGCAATAGATTATTAAATACGTGATTTAGTTTTATTTAAAATTATATTTTAACTTGTTAACTTTTTTTTCTACCCAGTGTAGTGACTATGACCTGGAATTTGGAACCGAGTGTTTGCAATTAGCTCTAAAATACTGTCACATTAAAGCCAAACTTGTGGAAGGATCACCTGATCTCTGGAAGGTAATGAAGTTGGTACTTTGCTCTGGATCTCGTCTGTGCTTATGTCATTCCTGAAGACATATTCTGCAAATACAAATACTTTTCAGGCGCTTTAGAAAATGGAGAAATAGTATAAAAATACTTGGTTTTCATACCGAATCAATATTTCCAGGAGAAAAGGGGTGTGTTTGTGTGTGTGTGTGTGTATGTGTGCGCACGCTTGCACGCACATGTGTGTGTATGCATATATTAAAGGAGCTAACAGTCTCACTGAGTTTTCTAAGCCATCAAAGTATGGTATCATTTCTGTTGCTGGGTTTCAAGAAAATTCACTTCGATGTAATTTATTCAAGCAAACTCCATTTGACCAATAAGATCGTTTCAGTCACAATTTTTTTCTTGTTCTCTGTACATAACCATTTACTCCGTTGCCTTACACTCAACTAGATTGAGGATGCAACACTGCTTTCCACAATAGCAACATTTCCTTCCAGGCCCTGGGGTGGGAGCTACAACTTAACTGGGTCGAAAGAATATCTGCACAGTTCTGCCCCAGTGGGGTGGGTAGTTGATCCCCTCACTGCTCTCGATGAGGAATTGGACTCTTCTAATGACAAACTTCTTTCTTTTGGGAAGGAATGAAGTGATTATAGCCCCGTGTTACAGCTTCTTTAAGCCAGGAATATTTTGTTGCATGACTCTCATTTGTTTCATCAGTTAGGAAAATGATGAATTGGACAGTATATTCTGAACTAGAATTGTAAAGTCATTGCATAATTTTGAAGTAAGTATTGCTGCTTTTTAAATCTTGGATGGAATCTTTATATTTCTATCCACTTAAATCTGATTAGGAAGGATTCTTTGTTACTCGAAGATTATATGAATCCAAAAGCATATTTCCTTGTTGATTTAGAAACTATGAGTTTATTAGGCACTTTGCACAATAATGTAATGGGCTTTGCTTCATGTTGAGATTGCCTCATACATTCTTAAATTGTTCTAAGATTACAAAATATTGACATGCCTGGATTATTGCCCAGTGGAGAAAATTCATACAGTATTTTTGCTTTTTAAAGATTATCCAAATGTCATCAACCAGGAGGTGAACATTTTATTCATTTTGTTTATCATTTTCTATATATGACTCAGATGGTGATATACATATTCATTGTGAGGATTTTGGTAATAACCAATTAGGTGTTTTGTTAAAGATCCAGACACATTTCTATAGAATTTCCTTTGTCTACTAGACATAATTTGCAGACTATGTAAAACAAAGTGGAAATTCTGAGACTTTTTATTGCCACTAATATGTCAATGCTCTTTGGAGACATAATACTGACATCTTAGGGTGTGTGATTATCTACTTCTCGTGGGTATTCTGAGCCTTCTTCAAACTTGAAAGCACTCTGAGGTCTGCAGATAAAAGAGAAGCAGCACATTGCTCTTTGAATTTCCACATCATTTTCACAGATTTATTTCAAAATTGTTTTGGTGAAATCTCATTTTCACTGCTTCCTCCAGCAACACAGTATTAGTCCTCACATTTTGTCCCTCTCCTTCCTGTTATGTACGGTAAATGTCAGTGCACCAAGGCAGTGATTCACTTAAGTGCTTCTCTTTGTTCCTGTGTTGCATCATTTTATACATGCTGGTATGAGTTGAATTATGTTCCTACCAGAAGTCCTGACCATTGGTGCCTGTGAATGTGATTTTATTTGAAAACAGAGTCTTTGCAGATCTAATCAAGTTAAGATGAGATTATACTGGTGTAGCATAGGCTCTAAATTAAACATATAAGAATAGGAGAATAGATACAGACATAGATAATGGGAGAATGCTAATGATGATGGAGGCAGAGAGTAGGGCGATCCATCTATGAGCAAGGGAAAGCCAAGTATGGCTTGCAATCAAAAGAAACTAAGAAGAGTCTGGGAAGGATTCTTTTGAAAAAAGACTTCAGTGGGAGCAAGGCTCTGTGGACACCTGATTTTCAGACTTCTGGTCTCCAGTACTATGAGAGAATAAATTTCTGTTGTTTTAAGCCACCCAATTGGGAGTTGTTATGGCAATTCTAGGAAATAATACACATGCCAAAGGATGACAGACTATTAGGCCCAGAGGGATCATCTTCGTAGTATCATTTTCCAAACACGAGGATGAAAGGAAGCCCCACTTCTATGAAAGATGTTTGAATAATGATGTACCTCAACGAGATCTTGGATTCTAAATGGGCATGAAATGCCATGGATTGGGCAAAAAGTCTTTCACATGACAGTTATGAATGAGATCTTTTTTGGTACATTTCTCTTGAGGTGAAATTATTTTGAGTGCAAATATTACAGTTGTTTAAATTTACCTTTTTTCTTCTTTTGCATCCTGTCTCATCTTCCACCTTTATCTTTTTGATATTTTCCTAGATGTTTACTTAGCCCTATTTAGCCTTTTTTGGTGACATTGTATGAATTGTCTTTAGTATTGGCTTCTAATTTTATTAATTTGTGGTCTTACCATTTTGCACGTATAAAGAGTATTTCCATTGCTTTTATACCAAAGCATGAAAACTACACTTTGAAATTAGTGTTATAATTCTATAATAATTCCAAAGGTACTACTTTTTTTTTTTTAACTCTAATTTGAGAAAAGATTTAGTACAATTATACTAAAACTGGTACTGGACTCAGGTGGCATAGCCAAGTACCTGGAACATGATTCAGAAATCTGACACAGTGAAAAACACATTTTAAGAGGCACTTCACTACGATACAACAGTAAGACAAGGATGAACTCTGAAATGCAGAGTTAGGATACCTTTCCCTATCTTTCAGAAATCAAGAGACTCACCCCCCACAGTGGTATGACTAAGGACTAGAAATTTCTTATGAGTGCATGTAGAATTATTAATTCAACTGCCACCAGAAATCCCAGGAGAGTTATTTTGTATTTTCCTTCCTTCCTTCCTTCCTTCCTTCCTTCCTTCCTTCCTTCCATCCTTCCTTCCTTCCTTCTAACATGTACAGTTCACCGCCCTCCCCACACACTTAATTCTTTTTAAAAATTTTTTAATTAAGTTTATTGGGGTAACATTGGTTAATACAATTATGTAATTTACAATTGTACATTATAATTTGACATCTGTATTTGATCTACCATGTTTTGTATTTTCTATGCATGCCCACCCACCTCTATCTTTTTAGGAGTAAATATAAAAAGTAAACATTCAGAGTTGATGCCAACCTTCTTGCTATAGTTTCTCTGGGGCCTGGAAGAAACATCAAATTTTTCAGATCACCAAGCAAGGCAGAGGACATCCCCATGGATGATGGACCCCCTCCCCAAAGAATGAACAACCACAGAAGGGTACAGGACTGATTTTCAGGAATAGAGATCAGCTCTCACGTGTTCCCTGAGTGGTGGTGCCTTGCCAGGCCTTAGGGAATCCATACTAACTTTGGTGAAATTTCATCTAGTCTGTGGAAGATCTTATATTTCATTATAGTTGTACCATGTTTTTGTCCCAATATATTAAAGATGTGGTCACTTATTACACTATACAGACCTAATTGAACAGACTTCTTGTTTTTAAATGTTAAAACCATCCTCAAGGCATGAAAGATTTATTAAAGATTTATAACCCGTTATTTAAGAATTTCAACTGTGTCCCATTGTCTGAAAATGCTTCTTTAAGGAGGAGTTTCTGAAGTGTTTGAGTCATCATAATATCTTGGAATAGCTGACTTTTGAGGATTCCTTTTGATGCAAAATACAAATATTCTAGCATCTTTGTTAAGAACAAAAGAAACAAAAGAGTCTCACTTTTTGCTTTTTAACCTCAAAAATGCAATGTGGTGCCAGCATTGTTTCTTTTAGAGATTTTCATCTAGTTATCCAATTTAGAGGAAAGAATATTCTCTACATAGATATAATTGATGAAATGGAAATAAATATAATAAATAACTCCCAATCTAAATTCATATCTAATAAAACATTCTATATCTTTAAAATTTAGCTTTTCTGCTTCTAATTATTGAAGTTACATAGTCATTTTCTCATAAGGTGAAAGATGTGAGAACATTAAGTGTAGTGTAACTTAATTTATGTAAGATGGTAGCCAGCTGGACCTGGCTTTGAAAAATCTGTGTAATTTACGATATTGAGTGTCAACACAGATGGATCAATGCAAAGTAGGTGTGACAGTGTTTTCTGGAACTCACCTTGACATAGCTGAGTATATATATACACACATACACACATACATATTAGCTAAAGACCTTACTTAGGTGAAATAGTGTATAGAATTCTGCACAGTCAAAGAAAACAGAACAAAATTGAGCTTAACTGGGCAAGTGGCAGATGTGAGGCTTGGAGTCTCAGCTACACAGAGCACCTCCCACTGGTCTTCAGGTGGCTTCCGAGGCTCTAATGCATACAGTGTGAAAACACATAAATTGGAGGATTGAAGCAATCTTTCATCAACACAGGGTTGACTTTTTTTAAAAAATAACTTTGCCCTAATGTGTTGTGCATTGTCAGAGAAAAACTATTGATCATGCTGACAGAAGATCAACTTCAAAACTGATTATTAAACAGTTAATAATTAAAAATAAAAAAGGGCAACCCATATTACCATAAGAGTTTGACAGAAAAATAATTAGCTCATCAATTTAGAATTACATTTTCAAATACTATTTCCTTTGATGTATGGAAGATGTTTGATTTAGAAAAAAAGAGGCTGTTTTAAACACAATACAAGTTTGTCAGAAATATTTTGTAGTTTATTTTCATTAAATTAGTGTTTAAGAATTGTAGTTGAATTATTAAAGCTCTATGAGGAAAGTATTAATAAAAATCAAAAGCTTTAATCAGTATATAGTAGGTATCCACAGCATACAAGAAAAAGACAAAATAGGAAATTTTGAGTCTTTCTTGTTTATACAGTTAATTATTTACTATTAGTGGAGAAAGAACCTTTAAGTAATAAAAACATGTATTTTATTCATAAGACTAACTTCAATGCAAAATGTAAGTATGCTAGAAAAAAAAATTTAATATTTGAGACCAAGTTTTCTTTAATTATAAAACCGATCATTAAGATTTATTTGGAGAAAAAAAGATACTTTCACAATTCTATTTTAATTTGGGATATAGTTTTACCACTCAAAAACAGCAGGATAAGATAAAAAATGAATTTTGGTAATTAACCATCTTCCTAGTTTACATAGCAATTATAGAATTAAGCATTTTCTAATTTAAATTGCAAACATTGAGTCCTAATTTCAGATATCTAGTTAACTTTTGATTTTCTACCAAACAAAAGAAAAACGTATTTTATTCAATTCTTATAAAAAGAATTTCTCCACTACAATGTAGTTTTCACAGGTTAAGGAGTTTTGCTCATTCTTTTCATTGCTCTATTCCCAGCACTTAGAAAGGGACCTAGAACATAACAGTTACTTGATAAATATTTGTTGAATGAATGAATAACATCAATACATTCTTTCATTTAGTAAGATGCATAGCATGAAGCTTTAAATATCTGTTTTTTGTCTCCCTCACCCCAAATAATAGAATTACACCGTGGATTCATAACTATAGTACTAGTTTTGGTTGACATGTACTGATTTTAGAGATACTGTATCAATGTCACATTTGATTTAAATAGATTGGTTGAATCCTTGAACAACTTTCCATCTGTGTTACAAGTTAACTGATACTTTAGTTCTTCATTGTAAGGTATAGTTTTGGACCAGGATTTACCTGCCAAGATAAAGGCATAGCCAGGGAAACTCTTTTTGGTAGAAGTGCCCTTAGCCACTTGAGCTGAACAAAGTTTCTGTACAAGTCTAGTTATGAGATAATTTGGAGGAAAAAAGTCCAAATTGTAGTCATAGAAAGGTAGGTGAGTACTTCACAAGGTGGGTTTTTGGACCATTTACACCATAACCATTAGGGCACTTGAATTTGAGTTTCTAAGACCTTATTTATTAATATAATTTATTATTTACTACATTTTTCAGTTCTGTGATATAGGAGAATTAATTCTGCAGTGCAGAGCAACTGACATGTTCTATACCTGAGCTCACTGGATATGGTTTGGGAAGTATCTGTCTTAGGACCATGCCAGGTTACATTACAAGGAGCAGGTTATAACTGCGCAGAGGCTGCATGTTCCTAAGGAAAGATCATAATTGTTCTTATGTACATGGTGGTACCCTCTAGGCTCTTTTTATCAATGCATGTATTAATAAAAACCTCACAAGGTTTTATTAAATCTTATCTGGCTATATAGATATATTCAATTCAGAAGGAAGTCCCTTCTTAACATGAATTGATCTTTGAGAATTTCCTCATTTCGACTAAAAATGCAATTTGGTGATTTTTGTTATACTTACCTTTTCTTCTAATGTAAAACCTTATTAAACAATAATGCTAATACTTTAAACACTACCACATTTTCTTTGACATAATATTTCAGTTACATTAATAAGATTTTGGTAAACACTGCCATATATTATCTCCATTTATTTCCAGATTTAAAAATAAATCTTCAACCATTTGTAGAAACAGAATACATTAATTTGAATTTGCTGATGTTGTTGTAATTTAGAAGTTGTCAGTATTATGTGTTTATAGTTTCTCCAGAATCAAGAATTTCCTTGGGGGCATAATTTTATTGCTTTCGCATTCCTTCCTGCTCTGTTAAATCTAATGAGGTTTATCTGTCCTTTAGGTGACCTACAAACAAGATCTGTATGCAGCTGAATCGATCATTAAGGGTATGTTTGGCCTTGTGACTCTCAGTTCCTGTGTTTCAAAAATGTAAGCCAGTTCAGAATTTCTCATGACATGTTAAATCTCAGAATTCTCAGAAGTATTATCTGGCTGATAAATGCCTGTAGGCCATGGAAGTCTGTGATTTGCTTTTTTGAAAAATAATTATATTTTATTTTGTTTTCTGCTTGTGAAATATCACTTATTATGATTTATGTCACATTGGTTTTACTTTTTATAAAGGAAATGCTTTATTAATTTGGGAAAAGTATGGGACATTGGCACTATGTAAAAACTAATATTTTAATAAATTTATAAAGGTACTATATTTTATTTTTACTAATAACAGGACTGACCCCCTCTCCCATCACTGTTATATCAGTACATTAGGTAGACTTTAATATGAGAAATATTTTTTTACAAAAATGAAGAAGTTATACTGGATTATTTTTCAATTCCTTTTTTTGTTCTGACAATGACTGTAATTTTGGTTTGTAATTTGGATATTATATAGGTAATAACCACTTCCTCATTTTTTTCATCTCTATGACTTTAAAATCCCAGCTACAGAGAGGTAGTTTATTTAATAACAAATACTTATTACCGTGCTTAACACAGCACTAGGAATGTAACGATGCTGTACACGGGACATTTGTTCTTTGTTTTTGCAGCTTCCATCACTGAAATCAGGGTTTCTTTATCTGGGCTCTATTGGCATTTTAGGCCGAGTGACTCTCTGTTGAGAGGACTGTTTCTTGCATTGTAGTTTATTGAACAGCATGCCTGGCCTCTACTCGCTAGGTACCACTCTTCCCTTCCTTCCCCTTCCATTCCCCCAGCGTGCCCATCAGATATATCTCCTGACAGTAGCCCTGTTTTAAATATATGGTTCTAGCAAAAATCAGAGGGATCCACCCCAATCCTGACTCCTTCAAAAATAGATTAAGTACAGAACTATGTGCTCAGGTTTTGATTGAGGGGTGAACTTGTGAATTCAAACTTTGAAGTTGAAGTAAATACTGAATTCGAATCCTTAATGCATCAATTTAGTTTAAAATTTTGGGAAAACCTATTTAACAATCAGTTGGCTTTACATTTAGAAAACTTAAATCTTTTCTCTGGGCATGACATTCTATATTTATACCGTATCTTAAAGGTTTTTGTCCTTTAAGAATATTGTGTTTCAAACCATTAATATACTGTAAGTTGTTTATCTGTATATTTAAACAGATCACATATAGCTATAAATCAAAATGTTGACATATATTTACATATGAACCAGGCGATGTGTAGTCATTATACTGAAGGAGTTAGCAAAACAGTGATATGATTGCGTTACATTCTCAACACAAGGAAATATAAAACTCAGTTTTGTTTTATAACAAAGTCGTATCTCTGTTACCTGGGTAACATGGAAATGATCTATTTTGTGATTAGTTGGTAAATGGTTCAACTGAGGATTTTACACACTTCTTCCTGTATGTTATCAGAGTACGCTTCCTATCTGTAAAAGTCTGCCCTGTAAGTGTAATTGCAGGGGCTACAGTTTTGGAAATTGTTTGCAGAGAGAAATCGTTTTTCTTATTTAGGTCATGTGGTCTAGTATGCTCCTTTTATTTTTAAAGTATTTAAAAAGTATTCTTTTGTTCTCAGGAAAAATAATCTGTCAGACTGGATTAATGTTAATAGCTGATTTAGATCATCAGTCTCCAAGAATTTCTTGTGTTCTAGGATTTGCATTTCTAATAACTCCCCGAGTCTGATATTACTTGTGCACTTTCGAGACCTCTGGCCTGGGGCCTTCCTCTTTCCTTGTGGGCCTCCAGACCAGCATTGTTGTGATGACCTGAGAACTTGAATGCAGAGTGTCTGGCCCCACCACATTAAATTAAAATCTGCATTTTAACAAAAAATCTGGCTGATTAGTTTGTACATTAGATTCCAGAAATGTTCCTCTAGGCTGCTCTTCACATAGTTTATTTCCTTCCAAATCATATCTTTATTGCATTAACAGCTCAAAGTCTTACTATATTCTATCAGCTCCAAATGCTTTTTGCTCAACTGAGATTCCTACCTGCCTCCGTGACTTACACTAATACTACCTCTGAGGCCTAAGAGTAGAAATACTTCTGAGAATAGGAAAAAGAAAACACTTGGATTTTTAAAAACAAAATTCCAAAATGAAATATGACGTATAGCTGACTAACTAAGCTACATATTCACCTGTTTGCCTTTTCCTAATAAATATTCAAAGTATTTTTCTAGGCACTTCCACTACATAGCATTTATTGGTACTTACTTTGTGCCACACATTGTTTAAAAGCATTTTGTGTGTATTATTTCTTGCTTCTCCAAGAATGCAACGATGTAATTTGCCTTGTTGTTTCCATATTATAGGGTATTCAAGGGTTCTAAGAAAATATTAATTTAAGGGTAGAAAATACATTCTTCATTACAGGTTTCTACCTTAGGTTGTTTACCTCTTTATATAGCTATTCTGTTTTATTCCTTAAGCAGAATTTGTTTAGATTCCTTCACCTGAAATCCTTGGGCTATATGAAATCCTTGGAATACTTTGTATTTTCCAAAGCTACTGCATTACATTATATATTATGTCACACCACCAGTGAGATTTGGGACCTCTCCACATAATGAAACTTGTGATGCACGAATGTTTACATTCAATGCAAGAATAATCACTGTAGAGCCAGTTCAAGTTCAGGACTGATTTTGCTACCAGATTTATATATGAAAACAATTTTAAAAATTTAAGAACTTTCTGGATTTCGGCATTGCTCATAACTTGGTGTGAACCTCTTTTAGATTGTGATTCACTGACAGAAGGAAGAATATATATTTTTTGTATCTTCTAACATTGAGTTGAATTTAATTTTGTGATAAAGGGTGCAGCTATATTTCTTTCCTTAGAATCTAACGGCCTTAAATTATGGGACTAGGGGCCCTTCCCTCCCACTTTACCACGCTACTTGCTTCTTTCAAGTACATATTGGGATCTAGTGAATCTATCTCTATATCATACTTCTTTTTTATTTTCTCTTAAAAGTATAGATGTGTTGCAATATTTGATTACACATTTTTGACAAGGTGTAAAACCAGGACTTCTAGCACTTATTCTATCTCATTTATTCTTTACAATAAGGCTGTAATGTAGATACTATTGCTCCCATTTATAGGTGGAAAAACAGACACAGAGATTAGGTTCTTTTTCCTCTGGGTCACAGAGTAAGAGTAAGAGTAAGATCCTCAATTTAAACCCAGGTCTTCCTTTTTCTTAAGCCTGACTCCACTCTGGGATGTGGCCCTTTGCACCTCTGAGGCATATAGCTACTCATGCTGACCACTGAAGTGGACACTGGATTCGATATGTCTCTTTGGTGGGTACAGCAAATGGCTTATATATTTCAGCCTGCCCAACTCTGATTCTCTTGGGTTGAAACGGTATCTTTATTTGACCTCCCAAAGAATAATCACATAATCAAGACTGAAGATATTTTCTGCCAGTGCTGTGCTAAGCTTGCATTAGTCTTCTAGAGAGTGTGGGAAAAACATAATATTGAAATGGCAGATTTCTAGTTATAACCAAGAAAAGAATAAAAATAAAATTTAAAATCAGAATAATACTTTTAAATTGATTGGTTGGGTGCTGTTTAGTTTTTTTTTATTTTTGCGTGAATTCTGGTAGTTTAACGTTGTTACCTAGCCATAACAATTTTCCTCTTCTAAGATGGAATATTTTTTTCATGCTGTGATATGAGTGCTTAGTATTCTGTAAACTATCTTTCCTAAGCTGTTTTTTTTTTTCACTTGAATACCAATTATTGCTGGTCAAAAATTATATTATGATGTAACTATTTTCTTGTTTACTTAGCTTTTTCAGACTCTATAAAACATTTTTTTGATTGGCATCATGTCTTGCAAGAGCAGTTTGTACTCCCAAATTTATTTGTCCCTGGAACAGCATGTATATTTTGGTCTGTCTTAATTTCTGTGCAAGCATATATCTTTAGTTTAGTATGGGAAATTTGATATAACTTCAGACAAATTTTTGATTAAAATATCCAAATTGTGATTTATAAAATCTAACTTTTATGTTTGTTGTTTGATAAGTTTTATTTTTAAGCTTAGTTTATTAATATCAGCATATTTACCTGGATTTTTTATAGTAAAATGTTCAATAATAGGAAACATGTATATAAAGTAGTATTCTCATAACTATTTCTTACACAATCGTCTGCATTGAAAAATGTACAGTTAATCACAAATTTACTGTTATGTAACAAAACATTCTTAATATTCTTTTTTGGGGGGGCAGAGAGTTGGATTTGGTCAATTTCCTTCAATGTTTATTCCTTTTAGGCTTCTACTATGAGTGAAATTTAAAACATAAACTTTTCTAGGGAGTAGTGTGATTAATTGGCACAAGACACTAGGTTGACTGATAAGTTTGTAAACAGCCTCTTAACAAAGAGCTATTGTATTTTTGTCACACAAGCTGGTTGAGCCCACCCAAGCCTGCTCTGCATGCTCAAACCTACACACACTATTAAAGTGATAACAGACACCAGCAGTAACATGCTTTATCTAGGCTTACAAATAGTCCCGCCCCACATTTGATTTAATATGCTGACCATATCCTGGCAAAAGTGTCAATATTCTAAAATCTAAGAAGAAAAGCCCGTATGGAACATCTAAATAAAAGATTGTATTTATTTTCTACCATCATCTTTCTTAGAATCTTTTAATATATTTAATTTTGTGGCTCAAGAGTGTTTTTAAACTTTTTATTTTTTTATATTTTTTTATTTTATTTTTTCCTGGTTATAATAATACAAACTTAAGTAAACTTGTGCTATAAAACAGCCTCATGATGCCTCTTTTCATATGGTGGTTTATATAAAACTGGAAAAATGAAATAGTTAAAATTGAAAATCATTTTATTTTTAACTGGCTTTAGTTAATATTAGTTAAAAATAGTTACTATTAA